GCCGTACTGTTGTGTATGGCTGTGTATTGAATGGTTGGTGTTGTGCTCTGCTATTGTCGTTCACTCTTCCAGTGCCAAAGAAATTTCTTTCGATTAGTCAGAAGACACCGCTGGCGAAGAGACAACGCGTTCTCTCAACCAAATTAGATTCAGTTTAGATCCAATTTTTAATTTCATTCACACAATCACGTCTCGACTGCACGACGACAACAACGTTCGCATATTGTGTATTCCCTCAACAGTTTTGATCAAATCGATCGATAGAGAGAGAGAAAAAGATAGCGACATAGAGTGAGACAGAAACACTAAGAGAATAAAAAAAACGAAATATTTTTTTTCCGTTTTCCGGGTGAACAAATCTCTAGATAGGAATAACGATCGCATTGTTTACACACAAATAACAGATAAAGTGAGTTTTTGTTTCATATATGTGAACATTTTTCAATAGATCGTATTTTTGTTCTTTCAATCGGTTCGTTGTTCTGAATCCATAGAACACGCAACTGACAAAGTTCGTCGTTTGCATCGATCGATTGATCAAATCATTCTTTGTTTCGTTTTTTTTGTCACAACATTTCGCAAAAGAACACGATTTTGTATTTCCAAGTCCAAGTTTCGTTTTTTTTTGCCTTCTTCAACGAAAATCAAGAAACAAATAGTCACCAAAAAATTATTCACTGGTCAGTACACAATTAGCGGCCCACTTTTTTTGAGTAATGGTTAGTGTTGCGATTAGAATACATAAAAAGCACTTGAAGTCGAACGGTGTCTCTGGATGGATTTGTTCATTCCATCCAACATTGAAAATATATCAAATTTTAAATCAAGGTGCAAGTTCGAAATGGGCAAAGCCGAAAGTAGGTTTTAGCGTGTGCTTGAAATGCTATGTGACGGAACACAAGGAGAATGAAGAAATTTTAGTGCGGACAGTTGAACCGATTGCAATGACATCAAAATAAAACCAACAAATCGAGGGCTCACACTACAAATAAGAACTTTTTTGTTTCGTTGGACATTTTTTTTCTGTATCCCGATTTGTTTTAGCTTTTAGCATACGAAAATTGTGCTATAGCAAAACTTTTGTTGATTTAATGGAACAAAGTGAACTTGAACTATGTGTTGTAGTAAACACATTGTAGTAAACGATACCATTGTTAACGGTTCAAATTGACATTTGATTTTTTTTTCCTAATTGAACTTGACAAAACTTGCATAAAGAATTGATCTACCGATTGAATTACCGTGCATTCGACGTTTAAACTTTACATACAATTCAAGTCTACTTTTCATCTCACATTTGTTTTCTGTTTCAATCTTTATTAACGAATTTTTATTTGCTCCGTTTGAATTACAGAAATGCATCAAAGGTGGTGGTATTTCATGACATTCAAATAAATCACACATGCAACGCGCCGCGCGTCGAAGCCGATCGAATTACGGGCAAAACAAAAACTCAAACTGCACTAAACGCACATCGGAATTCTGATTGCTGCCTTAGCGATATTGAAAAAAAAGAGCAGAAGAAACAAAAAAGATCAACTATCAATTGAAAGAATAAGATAAAATAATTAGTGTGAAAATTGCTTGGAATATCATCATAAATTACAACTGCAAATAGTTTCGATAAATTAAAGAAGAATAACAAACGAACAAAAAAAAGTAAATAAAGTAGAAAATAAGCAGCAACAACAACAAAATACCGGCAATACGAAGATATCAACAACGTGTGTGATCTGCCGCGGTTCAATCTCTTTCAGTTCGTTTTTTTCTTCTTTTCGTATACATCCTAGACAAAGCGCAACAATTCAACAGAGGAAAAAAAAGACAACAAAACGAATTAATCGATTTGATGCGGGAAATGTTCTCTCATGTAAATTTATTAATGTTCGAGTGTGCATTTCGATTAGTTTGATCGTTTTGTTTTCGTGTGTGCCGGTGTGTTTAAATCACGATTTATACTGACTATATATTTATTTATGTTCTGAATGTTCGTTTTTTTTTCTTCGTTTTCTCGCTTTGTTCGGTTAAATGCAAATCTTTAACAAAATAGTGTGATATCAAAGTGTGCTGAAATTGATTATGGAGGGAAAATCACAAAATCATCATTTTTAAATAGATATTCCGACCAAACCTTTTGTTAAATTCAAAGAAATTCAATTCAATCGATTGCACTGCAAATCGCACGTTGTTCCCCATCATACACACACCATCACATCAGCATCTCGAATACCCGATATGCCATCGAAGCAATAGAACGGGCGAAGATCAAATCAGCACGACCAGCACGACAAAAGATCACCCGGAGTGTGTGTGTATGTTTGTGTATGTGTATGCAGGTGCCCAGATTAAGTGGCCCCAAAAGAACGCATGTTACGCTATTTACAACAACCCCTCCGGCGAACCGAATGCTCTCTGATTCTGTGAGAGAATTCGAGAGAAGATAGACAAAGACAATTAAAAGAACAAAACACAAATTTTGAATTAAATTCCAATTCATACACATATATATGTATTTAGATACAAACATTTTCCGAATATCCAAGGTAAGTGTTTCATTTATTTCCACGCATAATTAAGACTAAACAGCACCAAAAAGAATATTTGAATTTTCGAAACCAAAAACCAATGATTACAGATCAAAATTTAAAGGCGACCAACGATTTTGATGACCAAAATCAGAATTTTGGGAAGTCAAAATCAATTAATACCAAATTCAACCCATTTTTTTCTCTCTTTTTTCGGAATGGTAAGAATTGACGGGATTTTTATTGTTCACGCGGACCGCCAATGAGAATGTGGAAAAAGTGAAGAAAGAAAAAACAATTTCCGTGAACCGAAAAAAAACGCACAGAGGAAGAATCATGAAGTCGTTCACAGTATGCAAAGAGCTCTAATTATCTATTGCAAAAACGAAAAAAAAAACTGATGGACATTTGATGGTCCATTTGCACGCAATTCAAACAAGCCATTAATTGAGTTGTTCGTGTCTTTTTTCAATTTCATTTTTTTTCGCTACTTTTGATGGCCCTCTGTTCCAATTGAACTGGTTGAAAAGTTGAACGAAATGAACATGCGAAGCGAAATTGAGCCGATTTAACAGAAGAAAACAATTTTCAATCTCGTTTCGTTTACGCGTTTACGCTTCCTCCCTTTCATCTGAACAACAACAAAAAGAAGAAGAAGAAGAAGAAGATGAAGCGAGCAAAAAAAAGACAGTAGCAAAAGCGGCAAAAATCTCCATTTGCTATTCACGAGAGTGTTCTCTTCTGTTGGTTTGCACACATTTTCTGTGTGTGTTCTGATTAGATCATTGTGAAAGTCTTTTGGCTGCTTGCTGCTGTGGCCTTTTTTTCGAGTAAGCTTTGCTTTCTTCGTGTGATATAAGAACCAATTGTAGCGATCTGGCCTTTATTCAAGCCACAAACAATGATGCCTCATGCTCCATTGTTTTCTATTCGAATTATCAACAACAACAACGCGGAGAGCGAAATAAAAAAAACGCAACATTGTTTACCTTCGCTTTAGTTTGAACAACCACAGACAAATATGCGACACAAGAGTTTGTGTGCCGTTTTTTCCTCTCTCTCTCACTCACTCGTCTTCTTCTGTTTGCGCGCATGTGCGCCCGCGCGCACATTTATTTTGTCGCGCAACTGTGATTTCAAGTGAGAATAATTTCACCGAAATGAAATTTTTCGTTTCCGTTGAATGCAGGTTATTTCTTTCTTTCGTTGTCTCTCTGACTCGCGGTGTGTGTGTTTTTTTTTCATTCTCTCCTCAGTTTGTTATTACTTTAACGGAATGACCTCAATCAATTTTACTACTCTATCGTATCATTCACTTTGGAATTGTTTCGCATTGTCTTTTCATTTCAATGGTTTAGACTGGCTTGTTTTCTTCTGTTGTTGTTGCTGACCAAAAAGAAATAGTTAAATTGATTTGTGATGCACTCTCACACCGGCCATTCCATATTGAAATTGAAAATGCGGCCAAGAAATCGGCCCAAAACATTAAATTCACATTTAGAATGAAGTTGTTATCGGAGAAGAGAGAAAAAAAATCAACAATAAAACGATAAAATTAATTTGTTTGCGCGTGCATTTGAATCTTGACTAATCGAAACCTGTTTTTTTTCTTTTGTGTGCTGGATGCAGATGGCTGGCAGAGGAAAAAGAACATCATCATCATCGTCATCGTCATCGTCAATATCATCATCACCCGCGATACGATGGAGTCTACAAGTGGTTCTAGTGTTAATTCTAAATCAAATTCACCGAAATTTTGGTAGTCCCGTTTTTACGTACAATCCTAGTGTAACACAATGTAAGTATGCCGATTCATCATGTCCCGCCAGCAAAAAAAAATTAACGCTCAAAAAAATCCGAAAATTACCGTGAATGAATCGAAACAACAACACGGCTGATGGAGAGAAAAAAAAACACACACGCAGCGACGCATACAAACCAAACGAGAATATGTGTTGAACAAATTCAAAGTATTCTTTTTTTCGTCGGGCAAAGAAAAATGTGTAAATCGAAAAAGCGGGAGAAATTATTCTCATATTTTTTGTGTGTGACTCATTTGAAAATGGGTCAGTACAATTTTTTTTCTTCTGTGTGATTCTGAATCGGTGTGTATATATTCTATCTCGATTCATTGGCCGTTTGCCGCATTTCATTCCATCGCAAGTTTCGTTATCGTCGTCTCACACTGTTTTTATTCTGCGCGGCCACATAAACAAGGTGAAGTCGCCGCTTGCACATCGAAAATGTGAAAGAATTTCTCTCGTTTGCTCTCAGCTGCAGAGCAATAAGTAAACACACACAGACACAAATGAACAAAACAAAACACGAAAATCTGAATAATCTCTATCGATCGACCGATCGATCGACTGACTGACTTACTGTGTGAAGCAACGGAGAGATGGAAATGTCCATCGAATTTACCGTAAACTGTTATTCGGCTGATTCGTCGAGTTTTATGCGCCGCAGCAAATGAATTTCATAATTGTTCTCTCGCCGAATTGGTCATCAAAATTTAGAATGTGGTCGAATTCGGAATTTTTTTATCGGTCTTCTTGCTTTTCGGCCACCCTTTCTGTAACTTTCTATCAAACGAGGCAGGGATGATGCACACTCGATTTGGTATTTCTTCTGCGAATCGTCTTTTTCGGCTAATTGGTACTCATGCCAATTTCATGTGATATAGATCTGAAATGTAAAGCAATATGGAAATCCCGCTCGAAACAGTGGACGAATAAAAGCCACCCATTACACAAACACTTAAACAAACAAGTGAATTTGCAAACAAAATCTAAAATCATTGGCACAAACCTATTTTTGTCACTCCGGTCCCAAATAGAAAGTACATTGAGTATGATCCATACAGAGAATAGATAGTTTTTTTTCTTTCGAAAATGCGGCTATTGAAATCTATGCTGTTGTTGTCACCAATTCTTTCATTTCATTTCGTTTTGAATGGTGAAATTGTGTTTAAGACTGGGGCCGTCTATAGAAACGCATAAGAATGAACGAGTCATACATACACCGGCTTGTATGCCCGAGAACAAATTGCGAGCGCGCCCACATATGTTAACTTTTTTTCGCCATAAAATCAAAACGAAACGACAAATACGGTGACACACTCACACACACCGACGATGACGACGACCGACCCATTCCAAAATAGAAATGTGCAAAGAGAAAAAAGAAATGGAAAACAGAACAATTCGAAATGACCTAAATATTTTTGAAATAACATCAACCATTGGCATCGGCCAATTCTGTGAATTCCGCTCAATACAAATACAAACAACACAATCACGTGCATTATTCACACCGTGCAAAGGAATTGAAAAGAACACTGATTTTAATCGAACGCAAGCAAAGCGAGGACGAGTGCCTATAGAAACTTTTCCAAAGTGATTCAGATGGGAATCGGTGAGGGATCGCATTTAAGATTTAAAAAATAAACATGAAATGATGGCTTGCTAACGAAGCAACTCCATTGACCCTGTTTTTGAAAGCGAAAGATTGAGAGAAAGAAACAGAGAGAGAGAGAGAGAGAACAGATCTTGACATGCTGAGAGATATGCAGGAATGTGGCAGTCGGTCTGTGGGCTTTTGTGTAAAACAAATAAACCCAACAATTACGTTGTTCGATAGATATTTTGGTCGGATCACAAATAATAATGGTCCAGGCGGACGACAGCGATGTCGATGGCAGGCCGTGGCACGTTAATGTTAATGTGAAAAGTGACGAGAGAGAGAGAGAGAGAGAGAGAGAGAGAGAGAGAGAGAGAGAGAGAGAGAGAGAGAGAGAGAGAGAGAGAGAGAATATAACTGTAAACAACTTGGTCAGATACTTAAATCGAATTCAAACTAATTGCGATTCATCGAAATGCCTTCGAGTCAATCAACAAAAAAGTGCTACGATAAAGAAAAAAGGTTAAATTGAACGACGACGCCAATAGATATGTATAGCATTTCTCGCTCGATTTGATCGGCATGCACTTCCACTTAACATTCAAATTGCAGTGACCTAATATTGATCACGTTGAACACACAGCACAGCACAGCACTACACAACATGAATAAATCTTATACGCGGAAGAGCGAATTATACGCGCTTTATACACTGGCTTGTTGGCACTGTGTATCACACCTGCGCTCATATCTCGTCTCTTACCATTTTGCATCTCATACTCTCGTATAATGTGATCATCCAAATTAGTTTGTTTCTTCAACGGCAATAAAGAATCTCAAATTTTCGGCCAATGCTAATATAAACAAATTACCGCCATCCAACCCAGAAAAAAGAGAACAATCAAAGCGTCTGTATTCTATTTTGACGGTAATTTGGTTTAATTGGCAATTTACACATTTTCAAATTCTCGGAAATCATATGGGCTTCATTTCATTGACCGTTTTGTAAGTTTTTTCTTCGATATGTAATTGTGTAAACCTCAATGAATCGATTCTTTACGCTGGATGATGACCAGAGCATAGAGAATTCTGTGGGTCATAAATCAGCAAGAAAGTATGAAACATAATACGTTCCGTTTACCTTAGATTCTTACTCGTTTTTAATCCAATGCGTTACTCTATGGGTTTTGTGACTATTTTTACCCATTCTTCACATTTCAGTCGCTGTCAACGTCGTCTTCGTCATTACATTTGTCGTGATTGTTGCTGTTGGTTGTATGTTCAGATGTCATGTTTAAAAAGTAGCATTTTGTTGTTGTTCGTATTCAATATACGATCGGGCATGTGTTGTGACTCGTAAATATTACGTATACCAGAAACACTAGGCATAACGGTACAAAATAAACTTGATTTTGTTTTCTGTTTTGCTTAAGCGCGTCAATACGTATATGATTCCAATTTCACACACAGCTCACACACCATGCACCACTCTCAACGATATGATATATTCAGCGTGAGCGAGAAGTACGACGGAAAAGAACAACAACAATACCAACAACAGCACGAGAAACACATAAACGTATCAAGTCTCTTTCTCTGTCGATCGGTCGACTGCACGATCGAGCGGAGAGTAGTCCAAGTCCACGCATGCGTAATATATGTGTGAAGTGGACACATAAAAAAAACGACCAAATATAATCTTAATTTTTCGTATTTAAATAGGCCACAGGTACAGCACAAAAATATGATGTTAGCAATGATGCGTGTATTTGTTGTTGTTGGTGCTTAAAGTTGACTTGAAGAATTCCCACAATCATCGCGTCGATCTCTTTAGCAGCGCGCAACATGCTGTTCTTTCCAGCACACTGCGTTTTCTTCTCTCTCTCTCTCTCTCTCTCTCTCTCGTTCTGCCTCCATTAAATCGTTAGCAAATTAGTAAACCGTTAATTTTTAGTCGCAATCCCATAATCATCCGTATATAATTTTAAATGTGCGATTCATTGGCGACCAATTTTTTTCCTGCGAATATTAGCGCTAAATGCGCAGTAAATGCGATTTTCGTGTATTTTGTAATAGTGTCGATTGAAGCGGCGCATTTCATTTCCACCAATATAAATCTTGTTCGTCCCGCAATCATTCTTGCTCCACATTTCGAGTCTGATCGATGAGTTCAGCCAAACGAACGAACGCACAGCACAGCGACAACAACAACAACAACAACAGCGTGTGAGTGTACGGAAATTGGCACATTATCAGTATCAGATTGTGCGATTTCACTAAATGTTTTGTAATGTTTGAGCCAAGGTTATGACATAGCCGGCAAAGCTGTGTGCAGGTTCGTCGCTTACTGTACATCTTTCATGAATTTTCTTCTCGGTTGTTGTTCGTTTGGTTTTTTTTTCTTTCGTTGTTGTTACTCTTTGCGGGTGCGCAAACGTGTGCGCGCGCGCACAAACACACACGGTAATTTAAAACTTTCCCGTTTTATGATCGTTTGTGGATTGTCGATGTGTGTTCTCGTGTCGATTCTTGGTTCATTGCAAGTGGGTTGTATACATTCTCTCGGTCGAGATGTTTGTAGTGTAAATATCATCGTTCTACTGCTTGTTAATGAGTTACTTTTATACACGCATATCGAAATACAATATATAGTCGTCAATTGTAACATTTTCAGATCATGAGAAAAGCAACGATTCAGCGTCTCTCTCTCTCTCTCTCTCTCTCTCTTCTCTTCATTTATATATTATATATATACTGGGATTAATTTCTTTCTCCGTTCTTTTAATCAGTTTTCTTTATGCGAGCATGTTCCATCGCGCGCGCTCGCGCGCTCGCGTTCCGTATTTTTCCGCAAAAAGCCGTATTATTACAATCCCATAAGAATCTTTTTATTTGAATTACATAATGGGCGTGAACGCGCGTTCTCTCACTCAATCAGAAGCACTTTCAGTGTTTTTTGTTCATATGCAAGCAAGTAATCCATTCACATTTCAGAATTTTCGGCGTGTGTATTCGGATGCGCGCAATGTGTGATGCAAAGCTTTCAAATTAAAATGAAGGAAACAACAACGAAATAAATGAAAAGAAAATAAAAGATTCGCATGTAATGCAATCCTCACACTGATCGGCTCATATTCTTTATTATTCATTTTTGATGTATACCGTTGGAAAAAAAAATTTATACAGTTAAACACACCAGAGAGCAACGATCATTTCTCTTTGATGTTCAACTTTATCTTGGGCGCTGCTGTGTGGTTCGTCTCTCGCCGCATTCAATCGGTAGTTTGGCTGTTGGTGTTTCTCTTCTTTTTTGCATTTTTTTTATGAACATAGTGTCTTCTCTTCATCTAAATCTTGCACTATTATACAAATCGCGCGCTCGTTCGCCTGGTGAAGAAGAAAGAGAGCCAAACAATCCGCACACATAATCAATGTGTGTCCATTAGAAAGAAGTTATTCTTTGCAATTCGGCGAGTGGACAGAAAATGAAAGAATAATCAAAAGAATTTGAAGATTTGCTATGCTTATTTATTTTTTTAAGAATTTTTGCCAGATATTCAAAACTTTTCTCAGATCAAGCGGAAACACTTTTTTCCTGTCTACTACCAGATGATATAACAATTTTTTTTTTAAACTTTGATCAAATCTCTTTCTATTTCAAATGAGAAATGTATTTTTCTTTCGTTTGAATCTGCGTATCGAATGGATTCTTTTTGACGTTTATTCGAATCATGTCGTTTGCACTCCCGTTGTGTGTTTTAATGATTTAAATTTGAGATATTTACGTCATGGAGCTAAACTCCAGGAGCTTGATTTTCCTACTGTAGCCCATCTAATTGACGTTCATTTCTATTGAAAAAAAAATGTTCGCATCGAAGAAATTACCGAGATGTGGTTACCATCTTTCGTTTTCATTGGATTCAGAACTGTGGATTGAGTTCCCTTGAGCAAAGCTCGTCGTAAACCGCTACTGTTATATAATGACAGATGCTTCGGTGTTGTAGGAACGAGATAAAACATCAACAAAAAACAACGCACACCTTCAATAATATATATATCTAATGACATGGACTGGTTTTTACTCGCTTTAACAGTTCACATTCAATCTGGAAGGAATATCAGGCATTTGCCGTGTGTGGTTCGACGATCGGGTATTGAAGGTGTTTGCATGTTTGCCATAGACTGTATCAAAGCAAATGGAACGCATTTAGGCACATGTATTGATCGCTTCTACTTTGGATCATGTTGTCAGTTAAAGGTAACGGCTTGATTCGCATTCTTTTTGTTTTTTTTTTCTCTCCTCCTTTCTTTCTCTATTTTCTTGTTGATGCTGTGACACACGAAGAATGTGGATAAATGTTGCTTTCATTTCTTTATGTTTGATTTCATTCAGGATGATGTTGATATTGTGGAACCAGAAATTGTGGAAAATAGCATCGATCAAAATACGATTCCGCATTTTTCATTCGGTTCACCGATCACTTCAACAACAGTCAGCTCATTCCATTCGACGGCAACGTCGTCAACACCACCACGAATCACAACGACCACAACTAAAAGACATCCAACATCGCCAAAACCAGCTGTTACGAGCACAACGCATCACCAAAAAGTCACAACACCGCATCATCCATCGTCGCTGTTACCATCATCGCCACCATCTCCGTCGCCTCCGCCGTCCGATTCGCTGTTGTCGTCACAAAAACCGGAAACCACCATATTCAAGTATGTTCCCATTACAACTACTCTGAATACCGAAAGCAAAACGGAGGCAAGTAATGAACAAACAATTATCGAAAAACTACCCGAAACCACCGTTCGTAATTCAATCTCATCGAAATTACCGACAACAACCGAGGAGAATATCAAATTGCAAACCTTTCAATCAGTTCAAGGTAAGTAATAGCTGTAACTGTGTATATGAGATTTGATACCTTACTATTCCCAGATGTTGATTCTGAGTAATCATTGGAGAGTTCTTGCAAAATTGTAACATTTTCATTAGAAGGTGCTACTAGAACCGTCCTACATAATATAGCTTACACATTAGATAGCTCGAGCTAAATGAACTTGAGTTCAGCCAATTATTTCTGGCTTCCAACCTAGTTTTGCCTCGTTTAGCATGGATTTACTCTTTTCTTCACTTTAATGTCCATTTGCAGAAACAACATTTACATCCCCATCGCCCACTCCATCAAGTTCGACGGTAACAAAGAAACCAACTAGACGGACGACAACAACGACGCCACCAGCACCGAAAACGACTGTAGCCCAAAAAACGACGGCAACCCCAAAAACAACAGCTGTTCCAAAAACAACGGCAGTTCCGAAGACAACTGCTCAACCGACTGAAACCACAGTATCGAGCACCGTAACAAGCACATCACCATCTAAACCCCGACCAGCGTCCACCATCAGCACAACTCCAAAATCAAGCGTTCAAAACTCAACGAAACACACGCCAACTACTTCGGCTCCACTGTCGAACCGGCCCGGGCCAACGCAAACCACAAAACCAACGGCGAAACCAATCCCACAGAAGACAACATCCAACCGACCAATCATAACGGCTTCAACGGAGAAATACATCACAACTGGTTTGTTTGGCATTTTATTAACAGTTTTCCCGATATTTATTTGGTAAATTCAATGCAATAATAACATTTTATTTGGATGCATTTCAGGTGCAGCACAATCTATACCAACAAAATTTGTGGCAACCGCACAGCCGACCATTATCACGTCCATTGGCACGAGACCAACACCTCCTCAAAAGAAAAAGCCACTCTTGACGACCGTATCGTTTGTATCGAGCTCAATAACAACGCAGCTGCCAAAATTCACTGCAACAAAAACGACGACAACAACGACCCAAGTACCAGATCTGGTTACCTGGTCAAATGCCGAACCAGGTAAATTGACATAGACACTTAGACGTTAGATGTATGTCAATACCGATACTGGAATATCTAACGTTGTTGATACATTTTTGTTTCGTTCAATTTCAAAAGCCATTTTCATTTTACTTTCTAATTTCAACATGCGAAACGAAACATTTTATATTTCTTGATTTTTCAAAACTAGCAAGTAATGAATTTGTCGATTGCCATAAACGATAACCTCATTCACTTGACCAAACAATGATTTGGTCTTTTCTTTTTGACGACTTGACCTAAAGAACACACTCAACTGAACAATACCGAGTGAAATTCTTAGCATTTCTCAATTGGCATGGAAAATGCTCTCAATTTCTTTTTCTCGAGTTAACAATTGGAACAGACTTATACGCATGAAAATGCCAAAAATGTGGGTGTTGCATTTAGTGTTAATTACATTGAACAATTTTCATTCTTCATAAGTTTCATTCCCTAATTACACAAAATAATACGCAATTTGAACTAGTTTTCATGGCTTTGTCATCGTGACATGACAGAGAAATTGCGTTTTGGTTGTGATTTGCTTGAAATCATTTCAAGTTCTTCAGTCGTGTTTTTATCTTCAATGGAATTTCCAGTAGAATATTTGAATGAATTGAATTGAAACCATAACTGTGTAATGTTTACGTTTGATGTGTTTTTTTAGCAAAAACTGAGCATCCACCAGAATGGATTTTGATACCAAGTGTAACCCAGTCGCCCAGCACATCACAGTCGACTTTCAGTTCATCATTTGAGCCCATGGTCGCATCGTCGGCTGTGTTTACTGAGACAACACGTTTCCCGACACGGAAACCGATAATAGCATCGTCAAGCAAGGCGCCCGCTACCAAGAAACCAATCATAACGAAACCCAGTCCAATCGAAACGGCTGCCACAAAGCCAGCAACAAAGAAGCCACAAACGACTACTACCACCGTACCAACGACAACTACAACGACGACGACGACGACGACAACAACAACAACAACGACGGAGAAATTGCCCGTTACAACGACCACAACGAAGCCATCGCTACCGATGCAAACAACTGTTTCGATCGACGACACTGAAAGCGATGAAGAAATGCAACCAACAACGGAAAGTGTTACAATGTACGATGACTTTGAGGAAACGACGGTGTTCACTGAAATCAGTGAAACGGAAAATGTCATCAATCATGCAACATCGGCGGTGCCCTCGTACACACAATCATCAATAGGTAGCACAACAATGTCAAAGGTGAATTCCACTGTCGCAATGTCATCCACCGAAAGTAGCAGCGATGACGATGACGACGATGACGACGACGACGGTAGCAGCAGTAGTTTGCCATCATCATCAACAGAGCATGCCGGTAAGTATTGCATTTTAACTCTGATAGTCGAAAGTCTATTTACACACCACACAAAAATGGTATGGAAACGGGCGAAGAATTCGAATAATGTTAGAGAGCATTTGCTTGATCCAGTGAATTGAGAACATCACTGATAATGGGTTCTGATATGCACAGATCATCGAACGACCACAAAGCCCGTAGAGTCAACGACGCAGCAGTCAGTAACGTTGTTGACAACGATTTTATTGCCGCCGTCCATCAAACCAGAATATGAGAAATTACCGACACTTAAACCGGTTAGCGATACAAAGGAAAAGGAAAAGGAAAAAACAACAACGACATCGACGACGACGACGACGACAAAAACGACAAAAACGACGACTTCCACAACTGTTGCACCCTCTGTTATGGACACGACCAGCAGCACAATCTCATACAACAAAACGTCACCACAACCAATGGAAACCACTGTGCCCACTGAAGCCACCGATAAACTAACAACAATCATGAACAAAATAGGTAAACATTTTAACTCATCTTTCATTTATCCAGCCAGCTTGACACACTATTTGATTTATCGCCATTTATCCATCAAATTTAATCAATGACAATCTCGACCGTTTTTTTCATCTCATTTTGTGCACTCACAGAAAGTACAACAGGTGAGCCGTTTACAGTTGTAGATATTGCAACTTCTAGTGTGCCATTGACAACATTTGAAACATACGACGTTGAAAACACAACTGCCGAAAATGTCACATTGGAATTTGTGGATCTGCCAACAACGGAAGCCATTTCATCAACCTCAAGCATTTCACAATATCTCGAAACGGCTAACTACAAACAAGGTACACATTTCAATCATACTTTTGAACAAGACAAAAATCAACCGAGCCAATTATTCAACGAAGCAAAAAATAAAGAAAAATTGAATTGAAGTAGAGGAGAAGAAGAAAATATGCTCCGAGTCGAACGGAATGTCATAGATAAGGTGATATCAGGCAAATAACAGCATTCTTTGCACATTGGCATTTTTTGTTTTCGCTTCGAAATGGGCAAACACAACAAAGTTCCCGAATTTATGCAATGCAATAAATTCCAGCTCTTCTCTAGCACATAGCAGCCGTAGTTGCGGTTTCTGCTGCTGCTGCTGCTGCTGCTGCTACTGCTGCTGTTGCTCCAGAGATGAGTCGGGGAGTACTACATTGGCGTTCGAGTAAGAAAAAACGTGACAAAGAAATCATTGAACTTAACATTCAAGGCTAAAAAAGCGTGCGCTCATAAGTGAACGATCGAATTCTCTGCTCGTTGGAACTTTTTATTTCGCTGTGTTTTCTGCGTCATTTACATCTGTTTCGTTTGGTTTTGTTTCAATTTTACACAGACTAAATTCTGCTGTTTTTTTTTTACTTCGTTCGACTTAGCTGAGAAATGATGAGCAGAACATTGGATTGTTGATATTAAAAAGCCACTTTTCGTTGTGTTCATTGTTTCTCTCTCTCTATGTGTCTCTCTGTCTGTGTAAGTGTGTGCTGAGGGAAAATGAATCGCGATTGTACAAATTGTAATAGGCAAAACCAAAAGAAAAACAAAAAGAGATACCGATACCAACACGTTTCGATTTATTTTTACACACGCGCGCGATTCACCACACAGACGAATGATGAGCATGGATGCCGTAGTAAAAATGTTAAAAATGTCTTTTCTCATTCAGATTAAAAGTGGTTCGACGCTTTTTTGCTTCTATATTCGTCGTAGTGTTTTGTTTCTTTTTTTGCGCAAATGAACGAACGGAGGAACGCAAGCGAGTTCGTCCATCTTCACAGCGCAAGAGTTCATTTTGACGAACGTTTGACTGTGCGAAAATGTGATATTGCATGTGCTCACAACAACAAACACAACACATTGATTTATTTTTATCTCCGCATATCTTATTTTCGTCTTCTTTTGCTATATTTAATATATATTGACTTTAATTTGCGTGACGATGCCAAATCAGCGGCAAACCGTATTTGTTTGACCAAGAAAATGGATTAATTGTAATGATTTTTTTTTTCCGTTGAGAATAAAAATAAATCAAATTTCAACGGGCTACCACACGAATTAGCACACGATGCGAGATTTGACGTTCTGATGGTCTCTGATCGATTGGAGATTTAGAATTTCAACAATCAACATGGGGCACATTTTTGAAAAATACAAACGCTATAATGCCGAAGCAAAGAAGTTGCACATAAGCGCCTTACAAAACAACAGGCACCGTCAACATCGATCGGGAAGACGAAATGTGCGAAATTCAAATGTGTTGAGTGGTCGCGGTTAACTGACGATTGAGTAATGCTTCAGAATAATTTGAATAATTCGAATTCAATTTTTGCAATGCTGGGTAGCAAGGAAGTTGTTCACATTTGCCGACTCATTCGTCATTCCGTTGAAAATACCCTGATAACTCAAAGCAAAACACACTGAAACCACAGCGACCAGCAATCAGAATGACTGATTCCTCTCTCCCACCAGTTTGGGAGCAGACAGAACTATCATCATACAATGTCTGCGCATGTTTTTATTCCATTTTTTTTTTGCTCTGACTAGCTGTGACTTAATCTTAATGACCATTGACTATTGCTATTTTTGAAGTTTTATCAACGCGTTCGATAACACTTGAATTATTCCAAATGACAATAGCCTCGCGTCCGAGCGAGACAAGAAGACACAAACAAACGAATGAATAAACACGAAAAAAAGTGGAGATTGCACTAAAAACTTGTTCCGCTCGTACGTTATGTTGAAAGATAATACCATAATAAAAGCATCTGAGCATATAAATTATGTGCTATTTCGCGAATTGATTACTAAAGATGACTTTGAATACACACGGGCAATGTGTAAGCATTTACTATTAAGGTTGTGTTCGGCCTATGTGCGCGTCTCCTGAAACGATCAATTACGATCGCGCTGTTCACGATGTTTGAGTGTGATTTTTTCTTTCCACAAAAACAGCAATAGAATGTTTATTTATTTAAAGAAGCAGAAAACAAAACCACTGAAATTACAAATCAGAGACGCGACCGTTAGGCCTTTTCAATTACGCGCGATACGGACAATGCAATGTGATACGTTGTGCCCTTCCCACAGTTTTAATAAAAAAAAAGCATTTTTTTTATTCATCTGCCAGAACCGTCAATTACAACACATTAAGTGAACAACAGGCAATTAGTAAAACATAAATTGATTCATAATTCAATTATACAATTTGAATTGCTTTCAATCACGCACGCCAATTGATTGTTTCTAAGTGGTTTGACTCTGCCTACAACTGACAGATTTGTTTTTTTGTTTTTTTTTCTTGTTTCTGCACACTCATCAAACAATGATCACATTTTTTGTGGTTGCAAATTTTTCACGCCGAAAAAATCAAACCTAAAAAAAACAACAACCGAAAGAAAAAAACAACGACACGTACTTTGGTACTTAAATGGAAAATCAACCTAATTCGTATATCGGCGAATGATAAATCTTCTCTCACCGAAAACCGATTTGCAAGTTTCAAGGACAAAATATGTAATGAAACCGAAGTCATTTTTTGATTACCTGTGTTGCGATGTGTTTTTTTTTCATTCTCGTTTTGTTTTCATTTTATTTGAAAATCTATCAAAAATTAAATTGCTTCGAGATAGGGCAACATGATATTGCATTTTAATGTGTACACAGAACGAGAATCCCGAACGCGCGCTGTGTATTCATGATCGTAACAACAAAAGTGATGTGCCTTTCGATTGGACAATGCCTATCTCTCTCCGTACATCGTTTTATTGCAATCCACCGGCTAATTTGAAACAATGAAATATCCTCCATTAGCATTTTCGTTTTTGTTGTAATCTATAGCGCCATCTTTGCTAAACGATACGATGCAAAGGCACAACGAATTCGTAGAAATATGTCGTTCGGTCGATCGTTCGTTTGTTCGTTCGAATATCCGATCTCCACTTATGTTCTAAAGAGCCTTTTGCACTTATACATTAAATCATTCGTCGTAGACAGAGAGAAAAGTGCCAGACAAGCTTTAAACCGACCGAGCACAACACAAAACAAAACAAAAAATTATCGAAAAAAACACACACATGAACAATGAAGATAAAGCAATGAAAAAAAATCTTTGTCCGTAATAAACAGCTTGACTATGGTTGCGCTCGTGCGCGCATTTTTTTTCTCATTTCATTTCATATAGGGTTTTTTTTTCTTTCTATTTAAATGATTGCTACCGATGCTAAGGTTATTCTCGGTCCATCAGTTAAACAAAATGTTAAGAACGGAGTAGGTTGTGTCTTGTCTAGCAAGCGATCGGAAATAATTATTAGCGTATGCATCGCGCGCGATTTCAAATTGAATTTGAATTTTATTCCTTTTTGTTCAAAATCTGAGCGAATTGTTTTCTTTGGGATAAAATTAAAGTTTCGTCAGTTTGAAAAGCGCGTGTAAATGCATTTTGTTTGTTGTTGTGTTTGTACGATTTTAGTTGTGGTCCTTTTGCTTGATTGTGCGTCGTGTGATTTTTTTTGCAACGGCAAGACAACCGAATCCCCCTTCAAAGCAACGATAAAAAATTTAATGGGCTTCGTTCAGCACAGCTAAAGCGCATCGCTGCTAGATTTGTTGCATTTCTCAATCGGTGTTGAACATTTTCTGAAGTGTTAACACATTCACGCAACGAAATTGTAAACATTTGATTGTGATTTTTGTGAGATTTTGTTGTTCAAACACTGTGTGATTGGAGAAAAGTTTTAGTTTCTCACACAGAGAGATAATAAATTGCATCAAGATTTCTTGTTGAGAATGGATTTACCGAAAAACGTGAAAATACGAGAAAATTAAAAGAAAACGATATTTTTTTTTTCGGTGGAAGAACACGTTTGAGTTGATAGTTTGAAGTTTGAATTTTGCCATAAGAAAAAAAACAAAAACAAGATCAAAATGATAACACCATTGATTAATTCGACTCTACTTGTGATGGCAGTTTGTGGAAAGCGAATGTATCCGGAGCCAAGGATTGTCGGCGGATCGAAAGCATCGTTTGGACGTTGGCCATGGCAGATATCATTGCGTCAATGGCGCACATCAACCTACTTACACAAATGTGGTGCGGCACTGTTGAACGAGAATTGGGCCATCACGGCGGCTCATTGCGTTGATAAGTAAGTTGGGTTTTTTTTTTGTTAGATTTGTTCCACAATTTTGAGCTAAGATTTTTAATGACGTCTTTGGAGGAATATGTCATGAGAAAAATTGTCATACAAAATCGTTGACAATTATCTCATAGCGACTGAAAACTGAAACTAAATTCGGAATGTTTACAAGGGAAAATTAATTGAAGAATATGAAAAAAAAAAAATGAAACGGCGAAAACTGATTTAAACTTCGAATATATGTTTCAGTGTTCCACCGTCAGACTTGTTGCTGCGTCTGGGCGAGTATGATTTGGCCGAGGAAGAAGAACCATATTTGTATCAGGAGCGTCGTGTTCAAATCGTAGCGTCTCATCCACAATTTGATCCACGAACATTCGAATATGATTTGGCATTGTTACGTTTCTATGAACCGGTCGTGTTCCAACCGAACATCATTCCAGTTTGTGTGCCCGACTCTGATGAGAATTTCATTGGGCGAACGGCTTTCGTAACGGGCTGGGGACGATTATATGAAGGTAAGTCGTGTGACATTCGAACATGTAATTCAATTGACAAATATCGCACTCATTCAAAACATCGACGATTCAAATGACCGACTCATCATCCGTAAATTTGTTATTTATTTTGGTTCATTTTTACTTAATGCACATAAAAACAACCTAAAAGTGCTGAAAAACACATTCAAGCTGCCACAAACGCAAGAGAAAAATCTACTTTGATATAATTCTGTATTTCGGGTCGATAACTTGTGTGAGATCACAAGTTCACGTTGTGGTATGCATTGTGCTTTGACCTAATCGTCGTGTTGCGGTTTGTGTGCGCTATTCTGTTTTTAACCTATGTATCAAAGCAACGACGTTCTCATATCATCATCAGACTATTATATCTAGTGGAATGTATTATCTATTGATGTCATTGTCATCGTTTCTAACACATAAATCTTGACCGAAACTAATTTTTCGTAAAATAAAACAGAAAACGAACGAGAATATTTAGATAAACTTTTGGATTTGTATGAGTTTTTAATTGATTCTGCCGTTTGTTGCCTCCAAGTTCGAGGTTTATTTCTGTTTTGCTTTCTTATGAAAAAGAGCGAAGCAATAAGTAATTTGTCGCCAGAGCTGTGTTGATATTGAAACGCATATTCGTGGTGTTGTGATGTTTCGTATCACGAAAACTTAATCTCTTATGATGTGTGTGACGACGGCAACGACACCGACGTTCATCAGCATTAAATTGGAATTTGAAGATATTTTGCGTGTCTGACTACCGCTGAGTCGTCGATATCAATATTGATTGTGTGTAATATTTGAATCATGCAAATGTGCGATTTAGCCCAGTGTTTTGTTTTTGTGTAAAAACTCCTCTACACCTTTCCCACCGTATTTTTAGCGCCAAAATGTGATTATTTATTGGGCATTTGTGCCGAATTCGTCTTTTTTTCTTCTTCTTTCGTTGTGACAGATGGACCTTTGCCAAGCGTTTTACAAGAAGTCTCCGTGCCTGTTATCAATAACACATTGTGCGAAGGAATGTATCGAAATGCTGGCTACATTGAGCACATTCCGCACATCTTCATTTGTGCTGGTTGGCGAAAAGGAGGCTATGACTCATGCGAAGGTGAGCGTACCGAAATCGATTCGACTTTTGGTCAATGAACTAATGCTAATTTCGCGCTAATATATTCCAGGTGATTCTGGTGGTCCAATGGTAATTCAACGTGATGACAAACGCTTTCTCTTGGCTGGTGTCATTTCATGGGGTAAGTTTTTTCGGTGGACTCATTTGATCTCTTGAGAACAATAACAAGTGAAAAATGGCGGGAAAAAGTGAAAAAAAAAATTGGAGAAAAGAAATTCATGTGAAAATTTTCATTTTTTTTCACAGGCATCGGATGTGCGGAACCAAATCAGCCCGGCGTTTACACACGGATATCCGAATTCCGTGAATGGATTAATCAAATATTACAGTTCTGATAGAATCGATACTATTATCACTGTCTTCCCAAACACGGTGCAGCCAAGACAGTTTTAGATCGCATTTTTTCGCATTAAACGCTCACATTTTAGCAATCATCAGACCTGAACTCAGCGACTATTTTACAACGAAATGCTCGCGAACGTTTGTTTGGTCGCTAATCTGCTGTGTTCACCATAATTACCTTTTGTGAATGTCCACGAAATGTAATGTGTATGAACTCTTGTGATTGCGTTCTACGAAAAACAAACAACAAGAACAATTTAAACACTAATTTTATGTTAATATAATTTAATTTTATCCCAGACACAAGTGATAACTTATAAACTAGATGTTTAGGATAATATTGCGACATCAAACTAAAGAGAAGAAAACACTGAACAATAAATTAACATTTTTATTCGTCGTAGCTAAATGAAAAACTTTTAAAAAGTTTTTAATGATAGAAAAAGAAAATTTGACAAGAATAAAATGAAAAAAAAAAAACATTCAAAAGATTTACATACAGATCAAAAGAACAAAAAAAAGAGACAAAAAGTTATGTGAACCCAGTGAATTGAAATGAATAAGGTAAAGAAATTGCGCTTTTGAGCCCACTACAAAGTGTCTTCCCCATGGCTTTTGAATCGCATTTCAATCACACACATGAGTTATATAGAAAATTTGCACAAAAAAAATGAAATAATATTTATAATAATAGCATTATCATCCATGAATGTGGCTGCTGATCATGAGATAGATAGAGAGAAACAAATTAGGAGCAACATTAGAGCGACGACATTATTTATTTATGATACTATTTATTTTTACTTAGACAATATTTTATACGTTTTAAACTAAAATGATGGATGAAATTTGTTTTTAACAAGTAGACTTTTCTCTGTAAATATTGAAATCGATAAAATGATGAAATGGACGGACTTTGTCTGTTCACATTGTTTGAAATGCAAAATTCAGCAAAATAAATCAGATGGGATTTCCGTAGAATTACTCTGTTGGACGTGAAAATTTGCAAAAATATCGTTTTATTTCTAGAACTGCTTTTTCTTGCTATAACTTGCTTAGTGAGTTCCAATTCGAAGCGCTTGATATAATACCAGAAACTCGTTTTCTATTGTTGAAGAATGAAACTTTAATTTTGGTTGCGATTGCGGTAACGGTAAGTGCAATGTGTCCAAAAGCATATTTTCAGTATCGCATAAGGCAAATATCGCATAAATATCGAGAATATAAATATTCTGGAAAAATAAACTGGAGACATTTGCTTTGCATGACATAAGTAGTAATGTTTTTCTAACGAACGTTGTACTTCGCTCAATATTAAGTTTAAAAAATACATATATTAATAGACCTCCCATTCTTAATTCGGTTATAATCGGGAATATTTCGAAGATGAAGCGGGAAAATGGGAAGAAAATCAGGAAATTAACAACATCGAGGAAATTGGCTGAAAATTAGGCGAAATTCTGGTTGAAACAAATTCCAATAAATCGAGAATTTAAAAGAAACGATCGGGAATTATAGTACCAAAAATCGGGAAATTCCCACTTAGAAAGAGGAAATGGGAGGCCTAATGTTATAATATTAAGAATCCTATGGAGCAGGTGGATCTGACCTGGTCCAACGTATTCTGGAAGTAAAGTCCTCCAGTACCCATTCCTTAGAGGAATTTTAAATCGTATTATTTTCGCCGAATCCCGCTCGGATTAGCTCCAAATTGGACTTGGTGAATCTGAAAAGAAATAAAATGAATAACATTCGTAATCCCGAACTTTTCCGTACCGTAATTTGTAATTTTGGTTTGATTTGTGAATTTTCTTGAAATGAAGGCAGTTTTCAAGTGAAAAAGCGGTCATTTTTTCCAATGAAATTTCGATAAAAATTGAGGACCAAAAATCAAACTTGTGCCAATGCAATCAACATGAAACTTCCAGAATCTTATTTTTTCTCTAAAAAATGAAGCCTCAGAAAATTTGAAGCCAATCGGAATCGGTTTACGGTACCTTCCATGCAAAATTGTCGAAAAACCGGTAATTTTAGTCCAAATTTCGAAAATGTTGTATGGGAGGTACCCGTTCTCCGATTGGCTTCAAACTTTCAGAATCTTATTTTTTCTCCAATTTTTTACGATCTACGCGTACCCATACAAAAATGTCATTTTTTCGAGGTTTTTCTTGAGGCAAGTACCCCAGGATCAAATCGAAAATGACTCATCTTCGAACTTAAACTAAGTTTTTCGGATACAAAACTTTTGGCATTTCCAGAATTTGATTATCTCAATTATTTTTTGAGTTATCTTGTTAACAAACACCAACGACGACGGCACACGAACGGAAAAGTGTCTCAAAGAGTGCTTTTCTACGCGTTTCATGAGTTTTTATGATGATCTAAGCTAATTTTGCGAAAAAAAGTTTTCGGAACCAATTCCCATACTTTCCCTTGACACGGTGTATGGAAAATTAATATGAATTTTGTACTGCGGATGCGTTACAATAACGCAATGCATTCGATTTTTCTGATATATTTATCTGCTAAATTCATCTATCGATGATGAATTCATCTTTAAGTATACTCTGACCACAACGAAAACATAGAATTTCGTTGAAAAATGTAAATGTGAGTCTGTTTTAAAGTTTGAGCGGACTTTAACAGCTCCAATGGTCCTACAATTTGTTTGAGCTTGCAAATATTTCTTCCAGCCGTTCTGATCATGTAAATAGTAAACAATACAGCGCCGCCTGGGGACTAAGTGCAATGTGTCATACTTTCAACGTTCGAACTAACACAGACGCGTACTTGTTACAGCAAAGTATGTGCATGATTCTCTATTTCTCCAACTAGTCTCCAGGTGCCGCTTTATTTTTCTTGTTAGACTATCTGTTTGTACAGACGATCAGAAAGGCTGATTTCTTCTTCTTCTTTTTTTCAAAAGAATACGTAAAAGTTACGTAGTTCATTTAATTTTAGTTTGCAATATCTAATCTTCGGATCCAATATTCGATTAAAGTGCACTCCAATGTGCAAATATATCAACAAAATTATCTATCATGATTGCCTTCGTATTGGTTGAACACTGAACGAATGATTTAACATGCATTTGAACGTGCCATTTCTTTTCAAAATACAAATTGTCTGCTCAAGACAGAGCTGTAATAATTTGTGTTACTTTTTGTTGTGTAATCACATTTTGCAAGTAGAAAAATAAAAATTATTCAGTTCATTGTTAGAACAACATTTATTCATCAACAAGTTTTAGAAGTTTTTTTGTAAGAAACCAATCGTTGCAATTGTACATTCAAAACTGTAATAATCGCAGCCATCATGGAAGAAAAGAACAAATTTCGCCAACGACGATTGCTGTTCTCTCCGTTAGAAGACGAAGTTAGTTATAATAACGAAATAAAATGGATGGACAAATCGGAAATCATTGAGGTAATCAAAGAAATAAAAGAATGGGAAGGATATGTAGCCCCAACTGAAAAATGCCAAGTGTTTATCAGCGAGTGTTGGATTTGTGGATTTGATTAGACTTACTTTCATTTTTTTCCGAAACTAAATCACAATTTTTGTCATCCAATCTAAAAAAATTTGCTAGCTTTCATTTAAGTGCCAATAACAGAACATTGCGGCGCCAGGAATTGACAGCAACATGTTTGAGTTATAGTATTTATGAGTGGTGGTAAAGCCCAACATGTATTTGATTGCGACTGCTACATCAGCTGTCAGTCCTCGCGCTCTACAATAAAGAAGTATAAATCGATAACTGTTCTAAATATTTTTCTCCTCTTATTATTTTAATTCCATACTATTGACTTACTTGAACGACAAAATTTTCAAAATCGTTTGCCAAGCCATTTTTTAAAGCTCCCTACAACATTTTCGAATACAAATGATGTTTGCCAACGAATTATTAAGATTTATTTTTCTCATCAACAAGTATTTAATTGATTGAGATCTAATAGCTTAAGATAATATTCATTAAACGAAAGTTGTTCTGCCAACAGTGAGTCAACTCATGATATAACTGAGCTGATAGGGTAAATTATAGATAAAAAAGAAACGCAAGGCACATAAAATGCGGAAGAATAATTACAATTACTTTTATCGCCAGACTCTCGAAAATAGTCAGTTTCTTGATACGTTAATAAAGTAACTTTATCGTTCATATCGCGGATTTTGTTTTTGCTGTGGGAAGTTCAAGTGTTAGTAAAATTAAACAGTTAATCAAAAATCGTAATCTTTCAATTATTTTAAGTACCAGAACTAGGTTTTCAATGCCAAGTAGGAACAGTTTTTCTAAATGGTGACCGGTCATATTTTTTTCATAGAGATAACAAAAGACGTGATGTCAACAACGCAAAATCTGAAGAAAATTTGTTACAAATATCACAAAAACCAAGAATCATCAGCAGGGCCGAAGAAAATATTTACGCTCAACAGCCAAAATATTTATTTAACACTATGACTGTTCCTCATATTTTTCACCTATTACTGTTCTTGGGGGACTCTAGGGCCCCATATGTATTTCATATGAAATCTGGACTGTTATAAGAGATAACAAATTAGTGTCTGAAGCAAAGTTGTAATACTCAAGGTTTGCTATAATTTTGTTGCAACAAATATTGCTTATCTCTTATCAGTTCCGCGAAAAACGCGATAATCGCGAAATTTTCCCACCTCGTTTTAGTGAAGCCGATAAGAAGTAAGAGACTTGCCTCTTCGACAGAAATGTAGAGCAGGTCGAGTACTACAACTTTGCCGAAGACACTATGTCTAAGGCAAAGTTGTAGTTCTGATGGAGTACTACAATTATTCCGATTCATTATTTCGTTATCTCTTATAAGTTCCGTGAAAAATGATAAGGAAAAAACGCGTTTCTTAAAACATGATATTCGAACATAACAATAGCGTTCCAGTGCATAACAAGAAGAAAATATTGGGTTGTCCGGTCCATCTTAACCAAAACATGCCATTTTTTCATGAAGACAAAAAAATTTTCATGATAAAAAAACACCCAAATTATCTTTGAACACTGAAAATATGCACTTTTTGCAACACGTCTGGTATATTTACTTTCAAAAATTACCAAAAAAATTTCACATAATGGTTGTCGGAAAAAAACACTAAAAATGATTTTTAACAGAATTTTCAGACGAAAATGTTTTATCATACACAGAGGATCTTTTTATACCTCGGAATACTACCAAAACTTAGCTATCGATAAATCATTAAAATGACGCTAGATAGTTTGACATTAGGAGGTCATTTGTAAAAAAAAATTGGGGGGGTCCATCTTACCCGACGGTTCATTCTAAACGACACTACCATACTTCCATCGGATTTGTCGTTGAAAATTACGACAAAAAAAACAACTTTCAAACGACTCAATTGCAATTTTGCGGTCGATAGAGACGAAAAATCGCCAAAAATCTGTATTTTTGTCCAATTTTCCAAATATATTGGAGTATTGCATGCTAGTAGACACTATTTATTAGATTGTCCCAAAAAAATATTGAGATTGTTGTTTTGTTCGAGCTCACAGTTCATATGATATATTATATTGTTGATAATAATTGTAATATCCATTCTGAGTGTGGCATATCTATTTTCTGAACATCTTGATCCCTTAAAAATTTACAAAATGACCCGCGGAGGGAAAGACACCACCAAACTTCGATTCCGATGCATTACCGTTTGGAAAACTTACATAATTTCAATTACATTTTTATTTACTTACAGAATCGAATCATTGTGGATCAACTAGTATATAAATACGATTCATAGGATCGTGGATCTTTTTCCACCTAATCACTACAGGGAGACACAAATGAGCTTACTAGCGTTACTAGCTCCTTGAATCCATTTTAACTTGAAAATTATAAGCATAATCAATGAAAGCATCACCGCTTCAGCTGCTGAACTCTTCTTTTGTTTCACGTTCTTTTTTGATATGATTTCGGAAAGAACCAACGCATTTGTTGGATCTACCTACTCTGTCATAAAAAAGT